AGAGCCTTCTTCTTTAGTCATTAAAGACACACTGTTCTTTCGAGCACATGCCATATTTGATGCCTGATCAATAACACACAGTTTATTGGGTATTTTTTTTAATGATTCAGGGCATGAGAGTGTGTTGTCGAGTGCTTTTGCGATGTTGATGCCGGTGTGTCGCTCTTTGAATGGGCACACTTCTAATGTAAATTTCTTTAGGGTAAAGTTTGGCGAGATATAATGTAATGTCACGAATATGTATCAATCATTTGCCCTTGATGTCCAGTGGTCGGTGGTTATGGCACTTGATTAAGATCAATGAGCTCTTTTTCCATAACTTCAAGCATTACTACCTTCAGTGTATGGTAAAGCCGAGGAAGTTTATTTTTTGAGAAAGTTGTTGAATATTTTATTGTGGCATTTGGTAATATTTTGTTCATAAACCTCTTAAAACTTTCAGAATCAGCAAACCTGAACGGCAAGCACTCAGTAGCAATCAAAATAGTTATGTCATGATCAACTACTAATTGACGCCGATCTTGAAGTGGCCAGTTTTTTTTAACCGATTTCTTCGGGAGAATAAGAGTTTTAAAGACTACATCTTTTGCGGATCCAGAAGCATCTGCCTCGATTACGTTTAGTTCTTCATCTCCTTGTGATTTCCGCTCGTCTTCTTTTTTTTTGAAGTTTAATGAATAACTTCCTATGTTGTGCTTTCGCAAGCCAGTAGTATTTGCTTGCTTTATTGCAAGCTTATTTCCAGAAGTATATTTCACAGAGCAGGTTCTCCTGAAAATGTAAAATACAATTTAATAACAAATAAAACGGTTTTATTTTTTTATTATAATTTTATTTTATTTTTATTAAAAACCGCAAAGCCGGGACGCTTCGAATTCTCTTGGCCTGAGGCAAATTTAAGTTTTGGGGGCATTTACTTTAAATTTTACCACTAAAAAATATCAAAGGAATTAAATAATTTCAGAAATATTATTATTAAAAAAAGACCCTTTGATAGGCGTGAATTTAATTTTTTTTTACAATTAGTTAGTAGGTATCTTTATTTGAAACAGAAAAAAATTCAGAGTAGGCTGACATACAACCTTGCAATCAATTTAGCACACTGTGCTTTGCAATTTATGAATTATTGCTCCACCAATTAAATTTAAATCCTAAACAATAATATTTATAACGTAAAAGCGTAAAAAAAAAAACCTTTTGAGATAAAGTATAAAAAATATTTAGTAAGTTGTGTTACCTATATTTTTCTTGAAATAATCCCAGATTAAAGATGTTGTTAAAGGCATAACGAGTAAAGATTAGTTTTTTTTAATAACTAAAGTATACTTATGTTTAATTGTTTAAAACTAAAGTTTAGTTATTAAATGTTGAACACAGAACAAAGACAAGGCAAGAATTATGATACCAAGAGAGATGTAATAAAGTAACAATACCAGAAGAGAAATTAAAATATTACACAATTAATTAAACTAAAATAACTGTAATGATTGTTACGAAATCAATTCCTTTGAACAATCATTTCTAATAAGCGTTTAGAATAATCATTAACGATTGCATCACAAGCAATTCCCTTTGGAGAATTATATGAAAAATTCTCTTTAATGATAGTTTCTAAACTAATTCCCTTTGAGCAACCATTTCTAATACTCGTTTAGAATAATCATTAACCATTGCATGAGTAGCAATTTTCTATGGAGAATTATACGAAAAACACTCTTTAATGATTGAAAAACTTTTTCCTTGGAGATTAGTTCCACACAGAAAATTTTTGCTTGAATGGAATAAAAATTCGATAGAGTTGGAATAACGATATGGGAAACTGCAAATTGCAGGGGCTGATCCAGGTCATTGTTCTAGGGTGGTAGTCGGACCAAAAAAATTAAAAAAAAAGGTTTGCGTTTTTTTAAATTGTAATTTATTTTTTACACCATTATCATAAGTTACGACCAACCTTGTATATAAAAAACCTCTAAATGATTTTATTTTTTTTATTTTACTTAAAAAAATAATAAGGAATACAAAGCCGTGTTATATAAATAAAATCTATATGACCGGGGCTAAAAGAAGACAATATTTGCTTTATCACTACGCCCCGGCGTGCTTTCATCAGCAAGCGTTTACAACCATTAAAAGGCAAGCATACAATTACATTGAACCATTTAAAAATTATATACAAATATTTTCAAGTATTTTAATATCAGTTACTAATCTATAATCAAAAGAAAATCTTAAAAAGAAAATAAAAAATAATCACACCTCAAAAAAAAAAAAGGATAATTTAAAGAAAATTTAAATTAGAGACATAACAGAATCTTAAAAAGAATTTAATTTATTAATATTGTTAATAAGGTTTTGTTTGAGTTTTTGTTTGAATAGAGAAAATGAAGAACAATTTTTCAGTTGTTTATTTAATAAAGTGTTCCATAATTTAGGGCCTCTAATGCAATAGAAAATTTAATAACCAAATAGTGCATTTTGATCATAATTGTAATTTGAAAATCTTGTAGGGTACACGTGATTACTTTTATTGAAAAGTGTATTAAATATTATAGGATTTATTTTATTATGAAGCTTGTAAATAAATGTAAGATTTTGATAAAGTTTTAACTGAAAAACATTGAGTATGTGATGATTTTTAAATAGTTCTTTAGAATATGTGAATCGAACTGCATTTGAAATAATTCTGAGAGCGTGTTTTTATTTATTAAGCAATTTTATAATTTTACTTACATTAGAGCTGCACCATGCAATATTTGTATAGTTTATATAACAATGTATGAGGGAGAAATATAAGATTAAAGCAGTTTTGATTTAATAATTTCTTAGCTTTGTATCGTATGCCAATACTTTTCGAAATTTAATCTTCTGTTGTTCTTATGTGTTCTCTCCATGTAGTTTTTGCCAAGTATCACTCTTCATTGATGACTCTCTAATTATTTTAGAGTTGCCAATATAAAGATCAGGATGTTTTAATGGAACATATATATATATATATATATATATATATATATATATATATATATATATATATATATATATATTAAGTTTACCATTTATAACATAAATATAATATATATATATATATATATATATATATATATATATATATATATATATATATATATATATATATATATATATATATATATATATATATTATATTTATATTATAAATGATAAACTTAAAAACGTATATCTGTAACATTACCTTTTCAAATTCTTTGCATTTTTCTAACAAGACTTTGTTTTGATTTATTAACTCAGCATTTTAAGATATATATATATATATATATATATATATATATATATATATATATATATATATATATATATATATATATATATATTTCGTGTAGTTTATGAAAAAAAGGATACTTAGTTTTATAAAAATTTAAGGACAACTAGTTTGCCTTGAACCATTCCACTAGATTTAAAAGTTCCTTGTTTACTTTTTTAAATAAAAGGTTGATATCTCCATTAGAATAAAATAAATTCGTGTCATCTGCAAATAAAATTGATTTTAGAATGTTTGAATACTTATGGAAATTGTTTACATATATAAGATATAAAAATGGACCCAGAATTGAATCTTAGGAACACCGCAAGTTATAGTCATGTATCATGATCAGCTGCAAAGATCCAGAAAAAAATATACTCATCCTTATTATGCACAAATCACTCATCCTTAACTACATCTGTTATCTTAACTACATCTGTTATCTTAACTACATCTGTTATCTTAACTACATCTGCAACCTTACCTACATCTGTTATCTGCAAAGTGGTAGAACAACTTGCAGTTATTGTAACTTATCGTAGAAAAACCAGCTGTAACTAACCAGTTTGAAACCTTTGATCTCATTTCTGACACTATTTGGTTTCAATTTGACGTTATTATAGTTTTACTTAATTTTTTTTTAAGCTTTTGATAAAGTCAATTACTCTTTTTTTCTCTATAAAACTCGTGCATATGGTTTCGATGATTATTCTTGCAAGTGAATGAATGCATTTCTATCCAATTATAAAAAGAGAGTCGTGTTATGAATTTTAAAATTCAATTGGTTAAAGGCTTAAAATTAAAGGCTAAATTAGCTAAAAATGTCTAAAGAGTTCTTATTTTAGATCACTTCTTTTTAGTATTTTCATTAACAATATGTCTAGTTTTAATAAACTTCAAACTGTTGGGTTTTAAGCAGTTATATTTAATCCATTATCTAATGAAAAAGTTTAAATTAAACCTTTTTGGACTTGTTTGTTTTGTAATTTTATTTTGCATTGCAGGTCCCTCTGTAGATAATTTTTGAGAATAATAAAAAAAATTTTTTATTAATCAGATTTAATGCTTGATTAAACTGACATTCCGGTGGGAAATGACATTCCGGTGGGAAATGACATTCCGGTGGGAAATGACATTCCGGTGGGAAATGACATTCCGGTGGGAAATGACATTCCGGTGGGAAATGAGCTATAACAGCTTTTTATCTTATAATAATTATTATTGTTGCTAACTACAACATAATGACAAGACTGTATTTATAAAATGATTTAAAACAACAGCAATATGTGGCTATCAAATAGGTACGATCTGTATCTATTCGGTAGCTACATACCGCAACATTTTAGCTATTTAGTAATAAACAAACGCAATATATATATATATATATATATATATATATATATATATATATATATATATATATATATATATATATATATATATATATATATATATATATATATATATATATATATATATTTTGGATCCGGCTGCAATTAAAAAAATAGAATAGAATGAAATATGAATAAGTGATATTATTAAGTTTAATTTAAATTTTTGGTGGTAAAGGTGGCCTCGAACTATCGTAGCCAAATCGCTATTTTTATTGATACAAAATGATGATACTTAAATTAGTAGTTTCTTTATCTCCAATTACGCGATAATGAAATAACGCAAAAAGGTTTTACTAGATTTTTTTTAAAAGTACACTTAGTACAAAGGATTACAAATTTTTTTCTAAATTTTAACTAGTTTTCAATTAATAATTATAACATATAAGTTATTTTAACCTAGCATAACCTTAAACCCATAAGTTATTTAAACCGTCTCTAATTCTAATTAATTTTTGATTTTCAATAAGTAACTGTTCAAAAATATTTCTAAAGTTATGTATTTGTCCCTTTAGTTCAACTATTGTAGTATTGAGATGAGAATTTTCTGAAGCCTGATTTGTGCATTGCTCTCTGAGAGACTGACATTCGATTGTTAACTTCTCCAACTCACTTGATTGAACGTTTGTCTAAAGAGAAATTGTAAAAATAAAAAAGAAGATACATTGCAATAAATTTAATAAAACGAGGTAAATACAGCTTCTTTAATAAAAGGATGGCTTTTTCCTCCTTCTATGTGTAAAATACCAAAACATATGTACAAAAAAACATAATTGGGTCTTTTACTACTTTGACGCGATGGAAGATTAAATATTCTTCTAATAATAATAAAGAGTTTTCCAAAAATTTTGTTATATTTATTATTATTGTTTTTTTGATAAGGTTGTTTTTTAGACCTAATATTTCTGATATAAGAAGTAGTTACTAATTGACAATGTTATAAATGATAAACTTAAAAACGTATATCTGTAACATTACCTTTTCAAATTCTTTGCATTTTTCTAACAAGACTTTGTTTTGATTTATTAACTCGGCATTTTCAGATGAAAGGTGTGCAAGTTTTTCATTAAGATTTTGTAGTTCTTTTTCGAAATTTTTGTTCTCACTTTGATCACGACTGATTTTTATCTCAATAATTTGTTTGTCAAGCCGCTCAATTTTTGATGCACTTGTTTCAAATTCTGGCTTGAGAGACACAGTAATTTGGCCTGTTAAACCACCCATCATATTGACAGTCTAAACAAAAATAAAGTTTATTACACTAACGCATATAAAACATTATAATCATAATTATCAAGTTAAAAACATAGTGTTTTATAGAAACATAGTGTTTTAAAGAGAGTATTGATTTTTCGATGGGGATTTCGTATTTTAGGGCTTTATGAAAAATTTGAAAAATTTAGAGTTGCAAATTAGGAAAATTTTGATTTTAGGTCATATATTTTATGTAAGTTGTCGAGATTTGGGAAGAATCGTTTTAAGTACCTCTACGAGCCAAAAGTTTAAAAATAATCCTGTAATTAACATACTTAATGATTTCAAATACAACAGACTTTAATTCAATATCAATTAAAAAAAAAAAAAAACTTAAGTAAAATACCTTGACAGTTTCTACCATTGACTTGCAATCATCAAATGTAACAAAAGTGTAGCCCATGAATACATCTTTTTTCAATGTGTTTTTGTCCCATACAGATACAGAAAGTACTTTTACTTCGTCTTCAGTCAAGTCAAACACGAATTCATCACCCCAATCTGGGTTTAAGTTACTGCTTACGTGTTTTGTCTTTTGCTTTTGTGAACCAACTTCAACTAAACAGTAAGGGTCACTTGTTTGGAATGTTTCCTTATTTTTTAACCCGCGTCCATTAATTACTTTCACTATCAGTTTTTTTTTTAATTCCTCCATATTTTTCTTTGTATAAATATAGCTTGGACTTGAAATAATTTAACTTATGTTATCTAAATGTTTTACAACATGAACTTTATTTTTTACAAAGTATTATATAACAATTTTAAACTCGCAATAAAAATATAAAATATTTTTCCGGTGAATATTGATTTTGATATACTTTGGTTTCTGTTGCTTAAATCATTTTATTTGTTTATAATCAACAAAAGTGATTGATTTGATTAATCGTTTACAAACAAACAAAAAAAAACTCAAAAATTTACAAATGTTTTGAAAAATATGAGTTTAATGAAGAGTTAAACTACTGCAGCAGCTATTAAAATAGCCTTTGTGATGTTATCTAAAATTTGACAAGTGTTTTGTGATATTTAAATACTAGTCTGGAGTCACAATATGTTAAACAATTAAATATTGACAAGCAATTTAAAACTATATCTGTTATTTTAGAGTTATGCGCGGTATTTCACTCCACAAGTAAGTAACCTCGCTGTATCTCACCCCACAAGTAAGTAAACTCACTGTATCACACCCTACAAGTAAGTAGAATTAAAAAAATAAAGTCAAAAGTCTTCAAAGTTTTTAAATAATAAAAACATTAAAATTTTTTTTTTGTTTGTTTCAAATATGCTATAAAAACAATAAGTAATACACTTACATATGTGCTGTTTTTTATAATGTAACTAATTTAAACAAACAAGGTTTTATTTAAAAGAAAAAACTGTCAAAAGGTTTGCAATATTACAGATAAAATAGAGCGCAAAAAAATTACGGTGTGCCAAATATAGTAAAAATATTGAATATATTAATAGCATATATATAAAAATAGAATAGCAAATATATAAAAAATATTGAATAATATAACGCGTGTCTTAGAGTCAAAATAAAAAACATTAAACACATTTTTGTGCTTGTGTTTTTTTTTTTTTTTTTTTTTTTTTTTTTTACTATTTAATAAAAAAAAACCGAGAAAGAAAATTCAAAAAACTGTAATAATAAATATTTAAACAATAAAGTTTATAAACACAAAAAATTATACATTTAAATATAATCAATTAACTACCAGCTTGTAAGAATATTTAATATATAAAGATAGTTTTTAGTGTGTAATATATAATGATAATAACTTATTTTGCATATAATTCGATTTTTATTAAATAGAAAACAACTAAACTTGCCTTTATTTAAATAAAGTTTGTCCTAACCAAAAATTAACAATAATTTAAGGCTTTGTTATTCAAAAGTTATTCAAGAGATGGCAATAACAAATATAATTAAATCTTTTAAAGTTTTATAAGTTATATTTGTTCTTAAAAAATAAGTTTATAAAAAGGAAAGTTTTATAGTAAAAAATTGTTTAAAACCTAAAACGATTTCTTTATAAAAATAATGTTTAGCTTGATACTAGTACCAATGTGTTACCCCCGTAAACTTCAGCAAAGTAATCTTTTCTCACTCAACCGATACATTTTGAACATTTTGCTGGTGTTATGATCAACTAAGAAACAAAATTTTTTTTAATATTATCTGCTATAATTCATTAAGACCAATTTCCGGAGTACGCTGAATATGTTTCTAGGGGGTGAAAAAGATACAATTTATTCTCTAGGTTTTGTCTTTTATATTATTTAACTTTTATGAATTTTTAAAATGCTAAATTTTTATAATTTTAAAAATAAATAGCTATAGTTTTTAAGTCTTATTTAGTTTTTAATTCTTTATTAAAAACATTTAATTTTTAGTTTCTCCGTATATAAATTTGTTTTCCAGCTTAGTTTTTTGAAATAAACATAAAACGTCAAAGTTTGACGTTTCCGTTTATTTACAAAAAATACGCTAGACACGTGATATAACGTGATATAACGTGAATAACGTTTGTTTTCAACTTAAAAGAAAACTAATCCGGAAAAAATATTCAACCTAAAAAATCTATCAACTCAAAATTAATGGTTAAATTTTTATTTTAATAACTTCGATTTTTTGAAGTAGGGTAATTTTCGGTATATCAAGTTATTTTGTTGTTTATAGATAATCGTTGCTTTTATAGTACCAATAAATTATTCATATCGATGGCTTATGCATATATCTATAATATAGCATTAAAAAATGTTTCAGACTCAAATTAGAAGAAAATTTACTATAGTACAAGTACTAACATAAAGTAAACACCTGAATATACTACTTAACATTATAGACATGAAAATAGTAATAGTAATTATTACTATTATTTATTAATAGTTAATTATTTATTTATTAATAGTTAATTATTTATTTATCAATAGTTAATTGTTTATTACTATTATTTAATAATAACTAATATTAAAATAGTAATAGTAATTATTACTAATATTATTAAATAATAACTGATATCAATAATACTAATTATGATAATAATAGCAATAATAATAATAATAATAATAACAGCAATAATAATAATAATAATAATAATAAAGATAATAGCAATAATCATAATAACAACAATAGTGAAAACAATTATTATAGATGGAGAATTTCATAAATAAAGACAATAACAGTAGCAACAAAAATTTAGTACAAGTAGTACAAGGCAGAGAATAAATAAATAGATAGATAAATAAATAGAATGTCAAAATACTAGTTAGTACTATTATTAATATTAATATTAGAGTGAAAAATCTTAAAAACGGCAGATTAAAAACCAGAGGAATTAAATGATAGATAAATAAAGAAATAATAATAATAAAAAAATTTCGAAATGTTAAAAATATCAAATTAAAAACTGAAGGATCACAAACTGATAGATATAATAAAGAATTTCAATATTATTTTGTAGAAATATTTAATTGTAATGTTTGAAAAAATAATCCAAAAGCTTGATTTTAAATTCAGAAATTGAATTCAGAGAATTTAGATCAGGTTTCATGAGCTAATATATTAATATTTAATGAATTGGTTTCCATATTTAGTAGAGTGGTGTTTTGGAAGTACTAAGTTTAAGCTACTGATGGAACGTGACAATTTGTACTTGTAAAGAAATTGTGGAATAGTAGGGGAAGGTTTTTGTGATGATAATTCCAGACAAATTGGCAGTTAAAAAATACTACAAAGTCACATAACTTTAATATACTAGAGATTAGGTATAGCACATTAGGATTGTTTTTAAGGCTTTATTTTGGAGATAGAACAACCTTAAAAAGATTTTTTATAGAATTGTCCCCATACTTGAAATGCGTATCTTGGATGGGACCCAAAAACAGCATGATATAAATTTAGCAGAGTTTCTAGATTTACATAATGGCGGACTTTGGCTAAAATTTTTATTAAATCTGCTGAGTTTTATGACTAAGTCATTTAGATGGCTTTGAAAAGAAAGATTAGAATCAATTTTAATCCCAAGATATTTACAGTCTAAAGGATAAATTTTTTGAGCACTGAACATCTTGTTCAGTGGCTTGATCATGATTAATATATATGTTGATTTTTTTTAAGTGATTTGTTGACCAGTTGCATGTTAGTATCATCAGCAAAATGGTAAGTAGATGCAAATTTAAAAAAAAATATTTAAATCATTAATAAAAAGAAGAAGAAGAAAAAGGTCCTAAAACTGAATCTTGTGATACGCCATTTGAGCATTTCTTTAAATCAGATTTAGTGTCATTATGAAGATATGAAGTAAACCAGTTTAGTGGGATTCCTCTAACTTCATAGTATTCCAATTTCGTGAGAAGGATAGAGTGATCTACAGTACGGTAGACTTTTAAACTCGCATGCAAACCTTGTATTTCAAAATACTCAAAAATGATGAAATTAGCGACCTAGTATGGTAATTTCGGCACAATGAAGCGGTAAACTCAGTATACTTAAATAAATTCAGATTTATTTATTAAATAACGAATTGATAAATTTAAAATACAATAAATAACTTTGCGTCCTATAAAGTAACTGTCTATTACAATTCATTTTACACAGCGCTTTACAAACGCTTTGCTTAATATTATAACAATCTAACGAAGAAAAAAGAAATTTTAACAGTTTTTTGAACTAAGTATAAAAAAAGTACAATTGCAATATTAGTTATATATTATTGATAAAACATGTTTCCTTAATATTAAAATAATATTTCAAAATCAATTTACACACATTTTAACAAACAGTTACTCTTTTCTATTGCAAATCATAAAAAAATATTAATATTTTGTCACTCCTTCTTTCAACGAAATGACTTTAGCAATTCGGTCTGACATACTTTTAATACAGTTTATTGCTGCTGTCTTTATTTTTCCATTGTGGTGCCAATGATAGAGTAATTTTTCAATCAAATCCCTTTTATTTGTTGAAACCTCGGAAGAGATTTTCTTGTTGAGAATGATCCATAAATTCTCAATCGGATTCAGGTCAGGAGAGTTCCCTGGCCATTCAAAAACGGGAAAATTTTTTGTTTTAGAAAATTTTTTGATGCTTTTAGCTTTATGGCATGGAACACTATCATGCATAAACGTAAATGTGCTATCATTCGGAAATCATTCTTGTATTTGGGGGATAAGTTGGTTCTCCTGAACCTCTTAATACTGTATTTAGTTCATCATCCCATTGACAATATATAGTCTTCCTGTGCCTTTACTACTGATAACTGAACACACCATAATTTTAGTTGGATGTTTAATAGTTTGTACAATGCAACCTGGATAATATTTTTCGTTTGGTCTTCATCGGACGAAAGTGGCTTTGTCTAAAAAGATCTCAAAACTTGATTCTTCCAAAAAGCACACCTGAAAAATCAATTTTAACATTTAAATAATATTTTATTCAAAATTAATAAACTTACAAGTTACCAATCTCCAACAGTCATAGTCAACTTTTTGCCCATAGCAATCTCTTTATTATCATTGATTTAAACCATCTTCAGCCAGACGTGCGCTCCGAAACTTGTATTCTAGACTCTTGAACAAGACAAATATTTTCCAGACAAATATCTTTTGTAGTTCTGTCTGTCCTGGGAGTGGTTTTACGTTTTGACCCACTACGTTCTTTCCTTATTGGAAAAAGAGTGATGTCGTTTTCCATTTTGTTTTTATTTTAATGACAAAAGGT